GGCTTCTAATGGCCCAGCAGTGGGGGAGCCCCGCCGTGGCTCTATGCCCTGGGGGTCTGATGTCCCATCGATTTTGGCCCAAACAGGTCACATGGCCAAGCCTGGCCTCAGAAGAGTAGAAAGTATCCTTCTAAGGGTGGGGGTGGGGGCTTGCAGCCACAGGGTAAACGTCTGGGACATACGGGGAAAGGTGGCAAATAGCTGGGGACAGCAACATGGTCTATAAACGAGGAGGCAGAAATAGGACCTCAAGCAAACCGGGTGGGCAAGTGAGGGGTGAGGCGTGTGGTCGTGTGGGTTTGGGGTCAGAGGGCCCCATGCCGCTGCACAGAGGGGCAGCCTGCGGGGTGGCAGTGGGGGAGCAGGAAGCACAGGGGACGCTCACACTTGACTGAGCAGCTGTGCGTGGGCAGGCAGCATCTGCTGCTGGGGAATTTGTCAGATGCGACTAATAAACACCAACACTCAGTTGTGGAACAATGGAGCGTGGGGAATGTCAGGGTGCAGAGTTTTCAAACACGTTCCTCACTGTCTGTGTGTGTGCTCCAGGAACGACACCCCGGGAGCCTGCAGGGTCCCTGCCGGCCCTGGAGAAGGGCCTCGTTGGGCTCAAAGCTCATGTTTACTGGGCATCTCCCAAACAGACAGCCTTGACCTAGGCCAGGAGGCTCAGGGTGGATGAGGGCTTCGGGTCAAATTTGCCTCGTTTTGGAGCAGGAGGCGCACAGAGGTCAGGAGCGTGTCCTCAGACGGCCGATCGTCTGGTATAAGTTACCGTTCTCCCATCTGTTACCTGTGTAAACCTGGCTCCTCTAAGCCTCGGTTTCCTCATTCATAAAGTAGGAAAGTGATCCTCTCTAACAATGTGTCGCGATGATCAAAAGGGATGTCACTAGTGGCTTGGCACGAGCCCACTGAGCCCGGTGCAGGCTGGGAGTTCAGGGCTGCGTCCTCTCTCACCGCAAGCTCTCTGGACCCTGGGCTGGAGGGACGGACAGCAAGGTGCTCCAGGTGGGAGCTCTGCAGCTTGTTTCTTGGCCCTGAACCTGGCTTTGGGGGGGGCTGGTTGTAGACCTTGTGTGTTAAGGGTGTGAGGGGCGACTGTGGCCCCCGTCTCTGCTGTGCTCATTCAGGGTTCTCAATCCCTAAATAACTTTGTCACCCTCCGGGGAATCTTATTTAAAAAAAAAATCCTCTGCATTCTAAGTTATTTGTATGCTGAGATAGTTAGGACACTTTCCAGATGTTTTCCCTCTGACCTTTCTCGTCTTTTACTCCCAGGATGTGTGGCCTCCCCATGCAGTGTGGCTACGACCCTGGCAACTATTTTGTGGACGTGTTTGTTGTGGGCAGTGTCTACAACGCAAGACGGATGGGAGACGAGCAGGGAGGCCAGACCAAGGTGTCTCGGGGTAAAGTTTCTTGAAGATGTGACTAATAGTTGGAACCGCAGGGAACAGACTTTCTGGAACAGAAAATGACTAAGTCAAACAGCATGAGACTCTGAACTGTGAAATAAAAGAGTATACAAACGGGGCTGCCTGGGTGGCTCAGTCAGTTAAACATCCTCGATCTCTGCTCAGGTCATGATCTCGCGGTTCATGAGTTCAGCCCCCGCGAGATGGGTTCTATGCTGGCATCGTGGAGTCTGCTTGGGACTCTGTCTCTCTCTCTCTCTCTCTCTCTCTCTCTCTCAAAAATAAATAAATAAACATAAAAAAAGAATATACAGTTGACTCTTGAACAACTCAGGGCTTAAGGGCATCAATGGTGTGCAGTCAGAAATCTACGTGTAACTTTGGACTCCCCCCAAAACTCAACTCCTAATAGCCTGTTGACCAGATGCCCTACTGATAATGCAAACAGTTGATTGATACATGTTTTGTATGTCCTAAAATAATGTAGAGAAAAGAAAAGGTCATTTCTATGCTTGGATGGATACCACTTTGAAAGAACTGACTGGTTTAGTAAAAGAAGTCTACCCACCCAGAAGCTAGAAAGAAGGGCACACGCTTCGATTTTGCAATTGTTTTCACAGATCCTAAAAGACCTGGCTGTCGAGCAAAGCAGGTTGGCCGCACCATGTCCGGGAGGAAGGGGACTCATGACTCCATGACCCTACAGTCACAGAATTCCAAATAGGAGACTATCTGGGCATAGCCATCACCCCTCCACATGGGGCGCCGCCTCCTTCAGGGTGCATGAGGCCATATTAAATTTTATTTACTATTTCTTGAATCGTTTTGCGTTCAGTTATGTAAAATAAACTTTTCCCTCCCCTCATCATTGCCATTAAGCCTTTAGACTCTAAACAAATCGCAACGCGTCTGTTTAGGAATTCGATTTGGCTGTGTTGGATATTAATAGAAAGTCCACGTATTTTTGGTCCTTCCATAAAATATGAAGAAAAGTGCTCTTAGCATCCTATATAAAACTGTGTTGTTACATATATGTATGCAATCGAAAAAAAAATCATAAGGAAGAGAAAATACATTTATAGTGTGTACCATGTCTATTGAAAAAAACCCACATGTAAGTGGACCCAAGCAGTTCAAGCCACGTTGTTTAAATGTCAACTGTATTAACTTTATTCTTTGATGACAAAGTTTAGTCTTCAAGGCCAAGGAATTATTACCAAATGTTTACTCAAAGGTGTATTATGTATGGTATTTCTGACTGCTCTCATAAAAGGCTCTGAAGACGGGAAAGCAAAAAAGATGAGTTCACTCACCTACATGTGCACATGCGTGCACACAGCCAGACACACATTCACATGCCCTCCTGCATAGATATTAGAACAAACAGTTTACTTGGCTGTTTTTAACAATGACTTACCGTAAAAGAAATAAGCTGTTGTAGACTTCTCAGGGATCCCTACAGAACTGATTGTCCTTCAGAGAAATAGTCTGCATTATGAATAATAGTTGAATATTGCATTAACTGTTAATGTAGTAGATATTCTAAACATTTTGGTCTTGACCGATCGTTTTTTAGTAGCTTAGAGAAATACAGATAACTAATGCCTGGGCTTATTGGAAAGAGCACCAGCTCTAAAGCCAGCCATTGAGTGGCACCCTGTGGCATTAGACAAGTTCACGCGAGGCCGGAGATGTGTCCCTCAGGCCCTGGGGTAAGGGTGAGGGGGTCTGCTATGCTGCACTGTGCTCGGTCCTTCCACCCACCCTCACCTCCTCTGGAGAAAGATTTCCTCTGTGAGCTGGGCAGGGGCCCATATGCATTACGCATGAGGCTGCCTGCACAGAGAAGCTTGTGCTGTCTTTGAACACAAGTCCCATAATAACAGCTATCCCTTATATAGGAGCGTTTACAAGTCAATTAAAAAAAAAATCTCAGCTCATTCAAAGAGAACCAAACGTCTTCCCCCGGAGTAGATGGAGAAAAGAGGGCTCCTACTGGTCTGGCCTCACAGCCCCCCCACGCCCACCCCCCCATCCTGTACTCTCTGCCCTGCCCCTCTTCCTCCTTCTTAGGGCTCCTGTCCCTCCTCTGTCCCTCCTCGACAGCACCCTCCTCCGGCTTCCCAGATCCACTGTGACATGGAATGCTGCTATATAGCTCTTCCCTTTTCCCTCCTCTCTCTCTTTTTGTTAATTTAAAAAAATTTTTTTATCTTATTTTATTTTTTAAATTTACATCCAAGTTAGTTCCCATATGGTGCAACAATGATTCCAGTAGATTCCACGATGCCCCTTACCCATTTAGCCCGTCCCCCCTCCCACAACCCCTCCAGTAACCCTCTGTTTGTTCTCTATATTTAAGAGTCTCTTATGTGTTGTCCCCCTCCTTGGTTTTACATTATTTTTGCTTCCCTTCCCTTGTGTTCATCTGTTTTGTATCTTAAAGTCCTCATATGAGTGAAGTCACAGGGTATTGGTCTTTCTCTGACTTGCTATTTCGCTAAGCATAATACCTTCTAGTTCCGTCCACTCCTCCTCTCTTAAAGCGTTTAAATTATAAGGACAAAAAATATCTCATTAAAATGTGGTGGCACTTTGTATCGCAGAGTGGCCTTGGTCTTCTTTCCAGCCCAGAGCCTCTTCAGGAATCTTGCCTTGCTCTATCGAGATATGGAGACCCCCTCCTCCCCGTGAACCTGGAGGGGATTGCTGACCCCTGCCAGAGAGAAGGTGGCAGAGGGGATCCTGGGTGGCTCCCGAGGCCACACGGCTGCCACAGCCCGGGATGCTGGCTGTGAGGACGCCACCAGCAGGCCGTGGGGAAGCACCTGCTCGCACGGACAGAGAGACAGAGAGACGCCTGGAGAGGCCCATCTGGACGGGAGCCGAGAGCCAGCGGCGGCCTCCTGTGGGTGACCCGGGCCCCCTGGCCTTGGCCTCTTCCAGCTGAGGTCTGCTGTCATCACAAGGCGGGGCCGGTCATCCTGTCGTGGCCTGTCTGGACCCGTGGCCCGCAAAGTTAGTGAGGTTAATGAACGGCTGTGCACCCCACTAAGTTTTCTGTCGTTTGTTCCCAGCCCTGGAAAGTGGGACAGATAGATGGTTCTCAGCGCAGGGAGCTACGGAAGGGGGCAAGGAGGGAAGCCAGGATTCTTTGAGAGGAGTTGTTCTGTAGATTTAACTTCGGAACAGTGTTTTAGGCAACAGTTTAATTCTTAGAAAGGCAGCCTCTAGTAATTAAAAGCAAAGTGGAAGAAACGTAAGTTGGTATTGAATAGTTGTGTACCCACACGTAAGAATTCTTTGAAGCCACTTTATTTTTTTAGAAGTTTATGTATGTATGTGTGTATGTATGTATGTATATATTTATTTAGAGAGCGTGTGCGAGAAGGAGAGGAGGGAGGAGAGAAGGAGAGAGAGAACCCCATGCAGGCTCCACACTGAGTGCAGAGCCAGACGTGGGGCTCGATCCCACCAACTGTGAGATCATGACCTGAGCCGAAGAAGTCAAGAGTCAGGTGGTCAACCGACTGAGCCACCCCGACACCGCTGAAGTCACTTGAAACCCAGTGATTGGACTGTGCTTCCCAGGGGGACACATCCTAAGGCAGAAAGAGCTGGGAAGGCACCCAGGTGTTCCCAGCGCCCCTTTTGGTAGCAAGTGCGTGGTGCTGTTGCTCAGAAGCTAAGAAAACAGATACACAAAACAAGTCGAGAAGGATATGAACGGCACTGGGGATGTTTTAAGAACAAGAGAAAGAGAAAGTAAGACTTACAGAGATTAAGAAATGTGCTCATGGGGCGCCTGGGTGGCGCAGTCGGTTAAGCGTCCGACTTCAGCCAGGTCACGATCTCGCGGTCCGTGAGTTCGAGCCCCGCGTCAGGCTCTGGGCTGATGGCTCAGAGCCTGGAGCCTGTTTCCGATTCTGTGTCTCCCTCTCTCTCTGCCCCTCCCCCGTTCATGCTCTGTCTCTCTCTGTCCCAAAAATAAATAAATGTTGAAAAAAAAATTTAAAAAAAAGAAATGTGCTCAAAGTTAAGCAGAAGTTCTGGCATTCTAGATCCAAGTTGTGAATCTTATCACCAACTCAACGTATATTTTCTTTTCTTTTCTGTTTTTGTTTGTTTTAGTTTATGTACTTATTTTGAGAGAGACAGATTGTGCTTGAGTGCCCAAGCGGGGGAGGGGCTGAGAGAGAGGAAGGGAGAGAGAGAGAATCCCCAGCTGACAGCACAGATCCCAACACGGGGCTCGATTTCATGAACCGTGAGATCATGACCTGGGCTGAAATCAAGAGTCAGACACCTAACCAACTGAGCCCCCCAGGCGCCCCTCAAGTATATTTTCTGTAAAAAGAGAACACAAAGCCAACCAAACAAAAACCTTGTTACCTTTCCACTGAACCGTCCCGGTGGTGGTGACGGGCTGGGACCAGCCCGCACCACGACTGGAGAACCCCAGCTTCCAGGCTGGGAGAGAAGACTGGTCACCGAAAGCCCGGAGCACGGTGACACTGGAGAGAGAGAGGGGACGCTGTCGAATACCGCCCAGCTCAGGAGCGCACCTGAGGGCTCCCATTGGCAGAATCATACTTCTCCGAGCATCAAAAAACTCAGAGTGGCAGTGCGTTAATACACATTAAATACGTTAAAATCCGTGAATGCTTCAGTCCTTCGGGGACCGCGATGAAACCAGTCCAGTATCCCGAACACCTGTGATGAACGAGTGAAAGTCATTCGTTCACTCTTCCTCGATGCAGCACACATCTGATTCATCAAATAATTGGTCAGGAAAGTTCTTTATAGAGTTGCGGCTAAAAAAAATGAAGAAGGAATAATAATACTACGACATTGCCATTTTGAACCCCAAATAAAATAACACACCTGGCATTGAGCGTCAGCAGAGGCTAAACCAGGAGAGGAGAAGCAGAGGGGCATTTACAGGGGTCGGATGGGTATGCTGACCCCTGCAGCCATGCTCAATGTCAACATCAAAAGAGACAGACAAGGGGATGTGACGTCCTCTGGATTCCACACGGCAGGACACCCGCCGTGCCATCTGGGTGACAGCCTGGCCCCAGTCTTGCACTTCTGTGTATCTTGCTTTCGAGTCATTTGGTGTTATGACCTCAGGTTTTCTTTATAAAATTCCCCTGTATCATGAAAAAACGTCTCCCTGTTGCTCTTTGCCGTGGATTCCACATCCGTTAACGTGCACCCTGCTTCTGCTACTGCTCTTTGTTGAAAGGCCCCCCCGAGCCCTCGGGCGGAGACCTGCACTCAGAGATCTTAGTCCTGGAACTTTTTGCCCACGGGGTGGCCACTGTCTCCAGGCCTTGCGGAGGCCCAAATCTAGGACATACGTTTACATTTGTCCGTTTGTTTGGTTTCAGCTTTAAAGAAAATGCATCATGGGTTCACTTCCGAGTCAAATTTAGGACGGACGGGCTCATGTTGTTACTCTGTTTTCTTCTTTTGGTATATCTTTGTGTTTCCCTTTCGTCCCTTTCAAGTATGTATTTGGCCACAGATTAAAGAGGGGACTCTGGTCTAAGTCCTTCGGAATACAGCTCGTCATTAAAGCAATCTACCCTTTGCCGCGGGGCTGATTTCGGTCTGCAAAGCCGGCCCAACCACAAAAGAGTTTACTTGGACCAGATCAAGACGGTGACTCATAGTCTGTCTTAACTGGCTTAAAGTAAACAGGGGTTCATCATAATTCGGCTTTCATCATTGTCTTAAAAGGTCTGTGTCATGGGGGACTCATTTCGCTCGTCATTAATTAATCCCCTTACCTGTGTTAATACAGCATCGAACGCAGCAGGGGAAGCCAAGAGTTCGGGGTGCCGGGGACCCGCGGAGGCTGCCTCCTGCCAGGCCAGCGGCAGGTCTGGGGCCTCGAAGGGCCACCCGGTGTGTGGGCTCTGAAACCAAAGCCATGCTCTCTCCCCATCGTTCTTCGCCTGTCTGCCGGAGGCCCTCCGCGTCCAATCCTATCCGTTCAAAACGTGAGGCATGACGACCACAGTTAATAATGCGCTATGTCACATTTGAAAGTGGCTGGCAGAGTAGATCTTAAAAGTTCTCATCCCCAGGAAAAGAAATGTGTAACCCTGAGGCAGACAATTAACACACACTTGCTAAGGAATAAATGCAGCCCTGCTTCATCCATTCAGCCAAAAGCCTTCTGTTCACAGATGGCCCCTCTAGAGGCCAATGGACAAAACAAAAAAACTTACATTGACGCAGCCATTTCTGGATTAGAGAGCGTTTTGCTACAATTATCTTATTCAGTCTTCCCACACGCCAACAGGCAGGCCCAGCGGGTGCTTGCGTCCACGTCTCAGAGGAGGAACCTGGGGCCGTGAGAAGCTGGGCAGGTGCAGGAGAGAGGTCCCTGCTGGGTGAGCCCAGTATCCTGAGTCCTCAGAGACTTTTCTCTCCTGCACCACAGAAGTTCTGGAAAATACTTCAGAAATGTTACTGGGGCGCCTGGGTGGCTCAGTTGGTTGAGCATCCAACAGCGGCTCAGGTCATGATCCCGCGGTCTGTGAGTTCGAGCCCCGCGTCGGGCTCTGTGCTGACAGCTCGGGGCCTGGAGCCTGCTTTTGATTCTGTGTCTCTCTTTCTCTCTCTGCCCCTCCCCTGCTCGTGCTCTCTCCGTGTCTTTCTCTCTCAAAAAAGAAATAAACATTGAAAAATTGAAAAATGATAAAACTAAGAAACGATTAGCTGCGGTGTGGACTCTGAATTGCTTGTGCTCCGTCCCCTTGGAAGACGTCGCTCTGTCTGGAATTCTGAACACATCGCTTGTCACGTGCGGCAGGCGGAATAACGGCCCTGGAAGGCCTCCACCCCCCCCGCTCCCCCAACCTGGGAATACGTTGCCTGACTTTGCAAAAGGGACGTTTGCTGATGCGCTTGTTGGGGACACCGAGGGGAGATACCGCGGCGGAAGAGAGTCAGTGGGACACAGCATGGAAAGGACTGACCCCTGTGCTGCTAGCTTTGCGGACGGGAGGGGACTTCTGAGCCAAGGAACGCGGAAAGTCCAGGCAACAGGTTCTCCCCTGGCGCCTCCAGAGAGGACCTCCGTCCGGTGCGGTACCTTGATCCCAGCCAGGGGGACGCCATCAGGCTGCATTCGTGGCGTAGGCCCTGGGTTTGCGGTACTTTGTCACGGCAGCGATGGGAGGTTCGTACGGCACGCGTGGATTTGTAACGTCACGCACCGGAGGTTTGGACCGCAATGGTGCACCGGGATATGGGCAGGTTTCCCCGTACAAGAGATGGGGACGTGTTCGTTGTCCAGCATCCGAGAGTCACCTTCCTGAATATCACACTGACCTCCTCAGACGGCTCTTTAAACGCTAGGGAGCTTTCGGTGCCCACGGCAGATGCCAGCTTTCCAAAAGTTTCATTTGAAACCTCCACGGTCACCGTTGACAACGAGTGTTGTTTTGCTTGAAGTGACCGCCTGAACGCCATTCGTTCTGGGGGGGAAACTGGCTTCTAAATACTGAAGTCTGAGTCAGTGTCTGATCTGTCAAGTTGTTCTCTCAAATAAAAATGCATTTCAGCCGGCAGCTCAGCCCCCGTGTGCTTTGTGGGGGGACAGTGAAACGCTGCCTGGGGTGGTGAGGGGCTGTCCACTCTGTGGCCCTAGAGGGTTTGACACCCCAAGACGGCGCCCCGCAGAGAGGGGACATCTTTGTTATCCAGAGCAGGAGAAGGCTTCCTATTCTCAAGAGTCCTTTTCGGGGGGCTCAGTGGTAGGAAGAAGAATCCTTGGAAGACGGGCACATGGAAATCGGTCTTAAATCTCCGCCACCCCCGGCAAGGTGTGCCCGCATCCCCCAGGGTTCGAGCATCCTCTCTGTGACCTGCTGGCCCAGACGCTTTGCTTCGTAGACTGAGGGTTCCTGGGGGAATGCCCTTGACAACATTCTGTCTTGTGTTTTTTTGGTCTGTTATACATGGGTGGGGGGAGAGGGTGTGAGCAGTGGAGGGGGGCAGAGGGGAAGAGAGAATCTCAAGCAGGCTCTATGCTCAGCGTGGAGCCCAACGACAGGGCTCGATCCCACGACCCCGGGATCGTGATCCGAGCCGAGATCAAGAGTCAGACGCTCAACCGTCTGAGCCACCCAGACGCCCCTAACATTATTTTATTAAATTTTATTATTTATGCATTAAGTCATTTATTAATTTTATTAAGAGGCGTCTGGTAGAACACGAGGGCTCAGAGTTAGCACGGTGGCAGAGTGGCTGTGAGTGGCCTCCGTCCGCAGTCACGAAGGAAGCCACAGTCACTCTAATGGTTGTGCCGCCTGGGCCGAGGTTCACGCAAGTTCCCAGCACCAGCAGCGGTGACCCAGTCCTTTGAAGTACGGATAACGGAGAGCAGGTGACATTAACCCAGGAAGTGAGAAGCGTGTGTGAGGAGACACGTGCTTTGGGACCGAAGACCACTGATTGCTTCCTATCTTTTCAGAGATGGCATTTGCTGGAGGCTGACCCCTAAGTAGTTCTTACCTGAGAAAAACCGAGAGGCAGCTCGTTAAGAAGGACACGGAATGTGGCTCTCGACACTGAGGCTGATCTGGATCTCGCAGCAGAGGGAAGCTGGGTGTTTGTACTCAAGGAGTCCCGCAGGAGGAAGGGCAGCTGCTTCTGGGGGTGGGGGTGAGGCACTTGCAGAAATCAGAGCTACCCTGAGCACCGGCTCATGCTCCTCCGGCTGGAGGGACCCATACATGGAAACCGTGCGTGATTATTCAGTGCTATTAAATACAGATCTGTGTGTGTTGCAGGGTCCTATGCAAACGCGTGAGGGAGGAGCGTGGTGGGATGGAGGAAGAGGTCAAAGTTCGGCACCCAGTGTCGCTGCGTGCTGGCCTTGGGCTCTCGGGTCCTCCTGTCTTAGTCCAGGGGTGCCCCCGGCTTGCAGCCTGCCCTGTGGGGCTCGCCGATCTGTGGCTATGAGCACATGGAAGTCATGTGTGGGCAAGGACTGGGTAAATGCAAGTGAGAAGAAAAGGGTGGTCTCAGAAACAGGCGCCGTTTCCCTAGGCCAAAGTCTACGGACCGGCCTAACCCCTCACCACCACCTGCGCCCAGCCTTGACATCCACAGGGCCCGTTCTGTGCCAGCCACGCCCCCTCGGTTCTGATTTCCCTCCAGGCTCAGGACCAGGTCTGAGAGTTTGCTACTTTGCTGGGTGGGCAACCACCCCACGTTCTGCAGCGTGGACCAACGACTGTATCATGCCCACGGGCTGGGTGGAAAGGCCCATTTGGACGGCTGTCCCGAGTGGCGTTTGAGGCTCTGTTGGTACCTGAGGCCTCGGGCGGGAAGGCTCAAGCCGCTTTCGGTCTGTTCCCATGACTGGGCCCTGAGGCGGCTGGAACTGGAGGACGCACTTTCCACCTGCCCCCCACGCCCCTCCCGCCCCCTGGGAGGAGGGAAGGCCCAGCTGGCACTGTCACCAGAGCCCCTCCCCGTGGCTTCTCGGCCCAGTCGGCTCCTCCCAGCGTGGCAGGGGTTCCAGGAGTCTCTGTACTGTTCTCCCTGGTGGCCGGACCAATTTGCATTCCCACCCACAGTGCAGAGGGCTTCCTCTCCACGCACTGGCACTCGTCACACTCACACTCCTTTCGGGTCCTTTGGGTAACAGCCCTTTTGACAGGTGCGAGGTGGCATCTCACTGTGGTTTTCCTCTGTCGTGTTGACCACCTTCCTTTCTGTTCCTGTTTTGGTTTGCTTAGACATGTGAGCAGCTCTAGGATATCGCCTTGACCGACAAACAGGGCCGGAGCCCCGAGCTCTCTGCGATTATTATTATTATCCATTCGATGTTACTCAGGTAATTCAACAATATAACGAGGCATCGAAGCTTAGGGAAGGCTGCTCCTCCAAAGTGAGAGACTTCTTTAGGGGCAGATATGAACCGAAATGCGGATGCTGTCATGACGTGTAATTGTGCATGGGCGTGTGTGTGCACATCTCTCGTGAAGACCGACACGGCTTCCAAGCTGAATTAGATGGTTTCTTGAAACTTAACAAAAAAGAATGCATACAAACACAGGAGGATATGTTCTACCTAGTGATTGACCTCTCTAGTTAATTTCACGGCTTAAGATTAAAATATCCCCCCCCAAAAAAAAAATTGAAAAAAAAAAAGATTAAAATATCCCAAGGCAAGATTGTCCTTACTCATCAGTCGGTATGGGAGAACATTCTAAGGGAATGGTTGGTTGTCTTCCTTCCCTCCATTTAGTATTCAAAAGGTGGTCAATTACCATTTGTAGGACTCTTGACCATTTAGCTATTATGTAACTTATTACTCCGCACCATAAATGTTGAATATATGAGCTTGATTCAGTATATACTGGCTCACACCCTAAATCTTAAAGATGAGAAAGTTTCCAACCCCCAAGTTAAAATCTTTCAAGCGACATGAAATGGCTGATTGTCTATCAGAATAATACATTACTTAACTGTACTGGTAGTCTCTGTGTCATGACATTTGGGAGCCAGGGGCTTTGCCACATGAAAATTACAATATATGGTAAACACAAGAAGTGAATGTTAACTATGACACTAACAACACTTGAAACAACACTTCACTTGTTACAATGTTTTCACCTAATGAAGAAATATCTTTAGGGGCGCCTGGGTGGCGCAGTCGGTTAAGCGTCCGACTTCAGCCAGGTCACGATCTCGCGGTCCGTGAGTTCGAGCCCTGCGTCAGGCTCTGGGCTGATGGCTCAGAGCCTGGAGCCTGTTTCCGATTCTGTGTCTCCCTCTCTCTCTGCCCCTCCCCCGTTCATGCTCTGTCTCTCTCTGTCCCAAAAATAAATAAACGTTGAAAAAAAAATTTTTTT